AGTACAAAATGATATGTAATTAATGTATTTTAATTTAACTAATTGTGCATTACGTTGTTATATAGTACAAAATGATATGTAATTAATGTATTTTAATTTAACTAATTGTGCATTACGTTGCTATATAGTACAAAATGATATATAATTAATGTATTTTAATTTAACTAATTGTGCATTACGTTGCTATATAGTACAAAATGATATGTAATTAATGTATTTTAATTTAACTAATTGTGCATTACGTTGCTATATAGTACAAAATGATATGTAATTAATGTATTTTAATTTAACTAATTCATAAAACAAGAAAAACGATTTTGACTGTCACGGTCTCAAGTTCAAACTAATAAATAACTTTCAGGATTTATCAGACAACCGTGATTTAACATAACCTTCAAGATATTAATCGTGAAGAAATTAAATTAGTTAATTATATCAAACTGAAATATCATAATTACCAATATCAATCCAGGATTGGGAATAAAAACAAGTTAACTGTTATAATCGAGTCCTTATGCTTTTAAAAATGTTTAGTTAATGCATATAAACCACTAGTTTTTGCATTTACAGTGTTCTTCGTTACCATAGAAATCGTTGTGTCATCATTGTTTGAAGACACTAACAAGTCATGTATTTTGCATGAACAAGGTATAATATGATTTTAGGCTACAAATGTTCGTTAAATACAATACTGATCCCAGCAGAACATAGTGAAGGTGCTATTTGTAGTCTGAAGGAAACAAAAATTTACAATGTGATAATGTGTAGACTTGAAAATTCTATCCAAGTTGTTTGAAACCACCGACTTTCATAAGTTAACACTGTTCTACAAATGATAAACAAATGTAAAACATTCTATATCTTATGTTTAAATAAAGGACACGTGCGAGTCTGCAACTTTGTTTTATATCACAACACGTTTGTTATGATATTGTATATTATATATTTACAGAATTCGGAGGAGAGTTCACAGCAGTGGCGGATGGTCTTGCTTTACTTCCATGTTATGTATATTATGTCTTTATAGAATTCGGAGGACAGTTCACAGCAGTGGCGGATGGTCTTGCTTTACTTCCATGTAACATCACAATACCGAGGTTTCAAGACGCTATTTCCTTGATTATGTGGTACAAAGGAACGTCTGAAGTTCCTATTTACACCGTGGATGCCAGAAAAGGTACATTGAGAAATGCACTTCATCTTGTAGCAGATGGACTGCGTCCACGAGCTCATTTTGATATCACCGAACACACACCTTTACTGAAAATCGAGCCTGTCCGGGAGAATGACGCTGGGATGTACAGATGCCGAGTTGACTTTCGATGGTCACGAACCATGTATCAAGAAGCCAGGCTTAACGTCGTTGGTGAGTAGTAGGAAAACAGACGAATATTTTCTAGCAGGTTTTATTCGCTTCTTTTGACATACAAAATGTGAAAACAATGAAAGTCGTCGTAGGAAACTATTTTCCTATTGTTGTATTAGTTTTTACACGATACTTGAAGTGAAATGAAGTTACACAAAAGTAGTTAGTATTTCAGTCAAATGTTTATTTTTAATCGCTGTTTTAATAATGAACAAGTTTTACGGAAAAGCTTACTTACAGTCTGAACGACATATTGTTAAGTTTTTTTTTTTACCATTATTAATTACAAACTAATACTCGTTAAGTCACTAGCGATACATCATAGAAGTAGCTATCCGAAAATAACGTGGATTAATTATCACCATAATGTTCTTGAAAAATGAATGAAAAACATATAACAAAAGTTTACGGGATCAGAAATCATTCTTCCATAAAGAATTAATACCACTTTGATTCCAGCCAGACCTTAAGTAAAATATCTAATAAATCAACGTAGAAGAAAGTGGTATTCACGTATGTTTGAACGTATCGATTGTACTTTCAATGACATTGAAAAAAATTAAGTATTTGTTTAAACGAATATTTTTTCATCAGAGAGAAAACATTAGTGACGTTTCTTTTTCCACTTTTATTTGAAACGTGTTCAGGTGGAACACGCCTATCATATAAACGTGTTCGGGTGGAACACGCCTATCATATAAACGTGTTCGGGTGGAACACGCCTATCATATAAACGTGTTCCGGTGGAACACGCCTATCATATAAACGTGTTCAGGTGGAACACGCCTATCATATAAACGTGTTCGGGTGGAACTCGCCTATCATATAAACGTGTTCGGGTGGAACACGCCTATCATATAAACGTGTTCGGGTGAAACACGCCTATCATATAAACGTGTTCGGGTGGAACACGCCTATCATATTTTGCTAACAGAATTTTCTAAAATGCCTGATTTGTATATAAACATTATAACTGTGTAAGGTTTGATTTTTAATTTCTGTAGTAAAGTCAGATATATTTAGTCTGACAGCGTCTAGGTAAAGCTGACGACAATAGTTCTAGTTGAACGAAATTAATGTTTAACCATATTGTATAATGTAGCAACATTAGTAGAGTTACCAATATCAAGATTACTTTTAACCATATTGTACAATATAACAATATCAATAGAGTTACCATGATCAAGATTACTTTTAACCATATTGTATAATATAACAACATTAGTAGAGTTACAAAGATCATAATATAACAACATTAGTAGAGTTACAAAGATCATAATATAACAACATTAGTAGAGTTACAAAGATCATAATATAACAACATTAGTAAAGTTACTAAGATCATAATATAACAACATTAGTAGAGTTACAAAGATCATAATATAACAACATTAGTAGAGTTACAAAGATCATAATATAACAACATTAGTAGAGTTACAAAGATCATAATATAACAACATTAGTAAAGTTACTAAGATCATAATATAACAACATTAGTAGAGTTACTAAGATCATAATATAACAACATTAGTAGAGTTACTAAGATCATAATATAACAACATTAGTAGAGTTACTAAGATCATAATATAACAACATTAGTAGAGTTACAAAGATCATAATATAACAACATTAGTAGAGTTACAAAGATCATAATATAACAACATTAGTAGAGTTACAAAGATCATAATATAACAACATTAGTAAAGTTACTAAGATCATAATATAACAACATCAGTAGAGTTACTATGATCATAATATAACAACATCAGTAGAGTTACTATGATCATAATATAACAACATCAGTAGAGTTACTAAGATCATAATATAACAACATTAGTAGAGTTACTAAGATCAAACGTGTTTGTTGTTGGATTTGTATAAAAAGATGTCATGTGTTTGATAGCAAATCCACAATAACTTTTGTGTTATTAAAATACATTCTAAATATAATAAACATGTGTGTTACAGAAACAATCAATACTACTTGGCTATAATTTGTATCTTGAAATAGCACGAACTGGTCTGAGGCAGGAACTGTTTATAAGTTCAAAACAAGTATAATATTTGTATTATATCTATAACATATTACGTATTCCCATTCTCAGTTGTGCTTGTTCGGTTTAGCTTTGAATTCTGTGCAAAGCTACAAGAGGAACATCTACCGTCCCTAACTTAGCAGTAAAAGACTAGAGAGAAGGCAGTTAGTCATCATCACCCACCGTCAACTCTTGGGCTACTCTTTTACCAACGAATAGTGGGATTGACCGTCACATTATAACGTCTACACGGCTGAAATGGCGATCATATTTGATGGGACGGGGATTCGAATCTGCAACCCTCAGATTGCGAGTCAAGCGCCCAAACCATCTGGCCTTGCCGGTTCATTGTGCTTGTTCGTTGTTATTGGTTTTACAACGAACAATAATAATTGAAGTGTAGTTACGTTTTTAAAGAAAATTTATGTGGCCATTTTATATAAAGTAAAAAACAAGACAAAAAGGCTAATATATATATATATATATATATTCCTTATTATCTTTCATCTCTCCGTTCTTGTATTAAATAATTTCATAATTTTTCGAACCTACACATGCAAGACGTAGTTGTAACGTCAGGTTGTGTCCATTATTTCGTTCAGAAACATCCAACTCCTAACTTTTCTGTATCTTCAGAGAACTTGAAAACTAAAGCGTTTTGACAAGTCGTTTAGAGTGTTGTTTTTTTTTTATATACGACAGTGCACTAGTCACTAGAGGGCGTTACTATTTCTTGTTTCTGGTTATGCAAGCATAATCTTACCACTAGGACCTTGGTATCATCTTTTCAAATAATTAATTTAATTAAAAGGACAGTAACCTAATTAGTTTATTGAAATTTAAAGTGTTAACTCAATAATTATTTACAATATTCACTATTATGAACAAATTTTGTGCATGATTTACTTTCGGAACAGCGAAATATCAACGATGAATACAAGTCTATGAATAGGCATTGTAAAGTTTAATATGATTCAGTTTTTCTACTACGAACCTTAAATCTGTGGTGAAACGTTTATTGAAATAACTAATCTATAAACACCGTTTTCGAGTTTAACGTGAAATCCGGAATGGCTTGCCTCATATTGTAAACCGTTTGACACTCGTTAAAGGAAGCTTAACGTTAATCCTGAAACGTTGTTTGTCTGTTTCCACAGCTACACTAGGCTGTTTTAGCCCTAACTTTATACTAATAAACCAGAGAGAGAAGAACACTCAGTAACAACTAAGAGGCTACACTAATGGAATAGTGGAATTTAACCATCATTGTTTTAATCGTCTCAGTGTGGAATGAGATTTTGTTTGTAGTAACGGGACGCGAACCATAGACCATAGACCACCTCACGCTCAGTTTGTCCTGAAAAGAACCAAATAATGTACCAGAAATTGAAAACTAAATCCTACTTAACCCAGAATTGGCTTCAACTGAAACAAGGATAATGTGAAAAAAATGTAAAATAAGATGGAAACGATACCGCTCATTTAATAAAACTATATCTGAAACTTGGGACTGATTAACTCTTTGTTGCTCCAATATTTACCTTTAAACATCACTTAACGATGGGCCTTTATCTAGTAAATCGTTATTACCGTACGAAACCTTAAACAAACGGATGATATGTCATAAAGAATGTTGTTTTGAATCAATAAAGATGTTAGTGATATTTTGATTTCTTTCCCGGTTAATGATGATATTTGATTCTGTTACCTTAATTATTACACAAACTTTGTAGCCAAAATAGAAAAAAAAAACGTTTGTTTTATTATCAAGAATGTAAAAACTGCTTTGAAATGGCTCTCAAAATAACCCAAATTTCGCAATTATTTGCCAACAAGGGAAGCAATAAGGTTTTACCCCCACGACTCCCCCAGTGGCTCATTAATAATTCTGAGGACCTATACCATTAAAACGTGGTTTCGATACACGTTGTGAGCACAGCAAAGATAACCAATTAATTTGCTTTGCGCATAACAACAAACAAACAAGACAATGAGGTTTTAAAGTTGATTTCTGAAATAGTGAGACCAGCGTTTATCAAAATTCGAAACAACCACTTGCATATTTTTTCTTTATTTATTTTTTTTAATTCCAAATGCGTAAACATAGACATTTAATAAATAATCGAGTTTCCCATAAAAACAATTGGGAAATGTGGTCCATCTTTTTATGGACAGAATAAAGGAAGGCTTAGAGTAATAAGTCATGTAAACTGCAGAGTATTCTTACAAAAATCCTAAAATAAAATTTCTGCATCGTAGCGATAATGCAGTGGATGACATTAACGTGATATAACCACAAGTTCCTTTCCTGCTTGAGTAAATACGAACAAATGGCATTAGGGTGAAGACTGAGTAATAGCTATACAAACTTAGTAACAACAAGATAAGGCATAACTATTTCAGAGCTAGGCCCAGCCTAATCCTCTGAAAGAGTGATTAGGCCTGTCTAACACCCAATCGTTAGTGTTAGCTCTTAAACATATTCGAAACACAAACTTTCATCAAACATGTTCATCCTTCAAGTGACATTGCCTGGAATTGGAGTCTTTAACTAAGCATAATGAACGTGTTCCTCCTTTATAAAAACAGGCACGCTTCATAAGCACAGTTGTAGCAATATCTAATTGTGAATGCCATTGTTCGCTCACGTAAAGGATTATCTAATATCTATATATATTTGAGAATTGTAAATAACAGGAATCAGTAAAGTCGCTGAAACAACAACTAAATCCACATTATGTTACCCACAAACTTGTTACAAAGTAAACAATCGTAGTCAGGTTCGTGACATAATAGTCAGTATAATTTATCTAATCATTCACAAATCAAAATCATGTATCGCGCCACCTAGTGTAAAACTGAAAAAATTATACTTATTGTCAATTGGAAAGTCGCATATTTTACTTGTAATGACCTCAGATATCCAAGATTAAGCCTTTTTTTTTCTTTTTTGTTACGTATGTG